CTTTCCCTATCTTTAAATCATTCAGTTCTGAGACATGTCATGTACTCAAAGAGCCCTCTTTTTCAAGGTAATAATGTCAGTTTTCTGGGAGACTGAATAATGAAAAATTCAGGGGGAAAAAGCCAAAGTATTTTTTTTTCATTTTGTTCTTGTTCCTGTTCCATGGTAATTCATATGTGACTTTAAGGTAAAATACTTAAACTCTATTTCCTCTCCATCAATTTTTCAAAAACATTTATTTACAAAGAAATGTTGTGGTGTTGAATTCAATAATGTTCGCAACAGTACAGGAGATCTTAAAATGGCTTGATTATTGCTGAAATGCTGATTACTGTTGCTATTGTCATTCCACTATTATAAATGTAGTTACATTGCAAAAGTGCCTTTATGGAACTTGAGACTTTCTATTGGAAAGATATGTTTCTCTCACAAAATGTTGTCTACAGTATTCAAGGATGATCTGTGTTATCACCACTAATACTGTTATTTCTCCTGTATCTTTGTCAATAATTTCTTTATAGATCAACCATCCTGCATACATGAACACAGAGAATCAAACCATGGTGACAGAATTCATCCTGATTGGATTTTCCAATTTTCCTAGTTTGCAGATTCCATTGTTCACAGTGTTTTTTCTCATGTACCTGATCACACTGGCTGGAAATATAATATTGATAATAATCATAAGTGTTGATCATACTCTTCAAATTCCCATGTATTTCTTCCTCTCAATTCTCTCTTTTTCAGAGACCTGCTACACGTTTGTTGTTATTCCCAATATGCTGGTAAACCTGCTAACCGAAAAGAAGACAATTTCTTTTACTGGGTGTGCTACCCAGATGTTTTTCTTCATCAGTTTTGGAGGCACAAACTGTATGCTTCTAGCAGCAATGGCATATGATCGCTATGTCGCCATATGCAAACCTTTACATTACCACATCCTCATGAACCAAAAAGTCAGAGTTCAGTTAGTGGCGTTTTCACTAGTAACTGGATTTGTTTTATCCCTAATAGATACATATTTTATATTCAGATTGCCTTTCTGTGGCGTAAATAAAATAAACCACTTCTTTTGTGACATGGCACCAGTCATTAAAATTTCATGCACAGACAACAATGTAATTGAAATTGTCATTTTCATATTTTGTGTTGTGGTTGTATTTGGGTCATTCTTACTGATTCTTCTTTCTTATCTGTTCATCCTCATTACCATTCTGCAAATTCCTTCTGCTGAGGGTAAGCAGAAAGCCTTCTCCACCTGCACCTCTCATCTCATTGTGGTCATTGTGCATTTTGGATGTGCTTCTATTATCTATTTGAGACCCAAATCCACTTACTCACTGGATAAAGACACCTTGATTTCTGTCACTTACACAGTGGTGACTCCTTTGTTGAACCCCATGGTGTATAGTCTAAGAAATAAGGATGTACAAATAGCACTGAGGAAAGCTCTGGGCAGAACATAGTTTACATGTATACTGTGACAGCGGGCCTACTAGAGATCAGATATCAAAGGCAATCTTACCTAAATAATTTTAATTTTGTACAAGCACCAACTGGATGGACAATCTTACACAAAGTAAAGGAACCATGTGCAAGGAGCAGAGACCGCTCCCATGGCAAGGGTCATTATATTAAATCAACCAATGTTTTTAGCAACATATAATAGAAGAGTACAGGAAGACTCTACAGTAAGACACTATGCCACATGCCTAGGTGATATGCAGAGTGGTTCTGCTTAAAATTTGTCCAGGAACCTATCTAAGTCTGAGAAAATCTAAGTGCAACTCACCCTGCAAAGGATCTGAAGGAGTTATAAATTAAAGTGGAGGAGCCTCATCCTACTTCCAGTTAAGCCAACAGGATTTTGTCCACTGACTACAAGTAGTCATGTTAGGGGGTGATTACCATTGTATTTTGGGTGACAGTCACTTACATCTCTTCAGGCTGTTTTGTATGTTGGTTTTCTGGCTACATCTTCTTCTAAACCCTTTTTATATAAATCACACCTCCTGAGACACGCCGGGAATAAAGTTCTCTCAATCCTGAGTCACAAAACAGTAATCTGACTCAATGAGCATAAATTGATGCAAGTATAATAAAAGTAGACTTTGACTTTTAAACTCTGACATCCTCATAAAACACTCAAAGCTTGAATTCACCAAAATTTCTTATTATTACAAATACAATTGTGAGGGGTCAAGTAAGTGGACCTCTCCATAGTCTGTGTATTCATGACCAGCATGTGTGAAGCATCAGTTCAGCTAGGCAAACTCAAACTCCAGTTTTAAATATGACGCTAAACAGGATTTGGCATTGACTGGCCAGTTGACTATGGCCATCAGTAAACCTGACTCCTCTATATGATAGTTCAATAAGGCAATATATCCTGATTAAGACATGTTCTAGTGCAGCCATAATGAGAGTGATGAAAAAGGGAAAGGGCTATTTCCTCTTCATTTTTAGGTACTTTTGACTTTTTTATAGAACTTGCCACTGGCAGTGGAATTTGTCCTGTTTTGGCTCAGCTTGAAGTGATATATGTATACTAAATCTGTTATAACATGTGTATATATATATATATATATATATATATATATATACTCCATAATAAAAAGGCAATTACTGAAAGGTAGACACAATCTTGTTTTCCTAATAAAAATTTTAGTTAATACTTTTTTTCAAAATTTTATGTTGGAAAAAAATGTCTAATTTAAGATATCATAATGATACATGTATGTTATATTTTGGAAAAATTATACCTATTATCTTACAGTTGAAGAGGATAACTACTAATCCTCCCATTCCTATGATTAATTAGGGAGAAATTATATTACAAGTAGAGGGATTGTACAAACACTAATTGCTACATGTATTCCATACTACTTTACTGAGGTCTACTGAGCAAACATAGGAGCAACTTTTGGCAGAATTACTTCTAGAGATCGGTGTAAGGTGTAGGGTATTTGGATATTAACAGTTGTTGTGTTTTCGTGCATCTCTGTTACACATCTGATGGCTTCCATCAGAGCCAAAGGTGATCTCACAATATATCAAGTCACTGGAAAACTTTTTCTGTCTTTTGCATCATCTGTATCATTATTTGTTTTTGACTAGAAGCATTTATTTTTTCCAATGCTGTGTTTCTTACAATTTAATAAAGTCCTGTGATAAAACAGTTTTGCTGTTGTTCTATTCTATTCTATTCAAATTCATATCATTATTTAGAGATTATTATAGTTACAGAGCCCCAAAATGGGAACCCTGCCTCAATATGTAGTTTTCAATATTCTGACTAGCTCAGAGGTACAGTATGTCTCTTGGCCACTACAATTTGTGCCCATTAGTTCAGCATCTAGCCTCCCTCTGTTCAGGGTGCAGTTTACTTGCAGCACAACTGGACACATGGACTATTTACTCCTGCAGCCATGAAAGGTGGAATAATTCCATATTTATTGTGATAGCACAGGTTCTTTGCGTGAATGAAAATAGAAAGACTGTATCCTCATACTTTAGCTGTTCTGTACATACACAGAGATGGTACCATGGTTGCAGAACAGAACAGAGAGTGGATGGTTTCCCCATGCTTTTGGGCTTTTGGTCATTACCACATGAGGCTAGGAAGGAATTGGTTTCCCTTTGGCTGCTACAGGCATCAGGGTTTGTTTGTTTGTTTATTTATTTATTATTCCCTCAGGAGCGTTGGGTATTGGCTGCAGCTAACACAGGGGACCTTGACTGGGGTGTGCTGATGCTCATGCTGGGACTAAAGGGTTAACGGGTCTTGTCCCTCTGCTTAGTGTCAGACCATTTGCCACATTTGGGATCAGAAAGGTATTTTACCCCATAGCCAAATTTTTACAGACTCTACTGCAGGGGTTATGGCCCTCTTCCTTCTATCTTTCAAGTGTCTTTTCACAATGCCTGTAGTAGAGGGACATTGTCCCCTGGGAGGGGTCTCTTGTAAAAGAGATCCTGCAGCAACAGCCCTAGGCCAGGGGGCATGGCCTCTTAGCCATGACCCTGGGAAGAGATTAGTTCCTTCCACTTTCTGAGCAGATCAGCCCCTACAGAACTCCTGAACAGGCCCATGGACACGGGGCCATATCCTATACCACCTACTAGGTGCTTAAGTGTGACCCTACTGCGTTCTCCTCAAGTCCATGAAAACAGCTAATGTGAGAAGTGGGTGGGTCCTTCTCCTTTTGCTACTTTCTTTGTGACTTAGTCTTAAGTGTAAGATGACCGTGTCTTGTAAAAATAGCCAAACTAATCCTGTTTCAGGAGGCAAGCAGGGTGGAATAGGTTTGCACTTACATGCTTAAGTCTACTTTGGTGTCTAATATGTAGAATAGGATCTGACCCATTGTGATTGGGCTACCGCTCAGTTAGACCCTGGGCATATCCTCAGGTTTCTAGATTACACTGAAATTTGTGTCATTGCTTCTTCACTGCTCTTGTTACCCAGGGTAACTAGATTAGACCAACTTGTATATGCTTATTTGACATACAGTCACCCCTACACCCCTGCAATGGTATCCCCTGTCTTTGGCATAACAGGAAGATGGTAGAGCATGAAGGGCTTATTGCATGTTCCTGAGCTTCCCATTTTCCTGATGAAGGAGTCCTGAATTACTCCATTAATTTTTCATATGCTTTCAGGGTCCTCATGATGTAAAATTGGACAATTTTAACATTAATAAAAATAATCTCAGCCAGCCCGTCAATCATCTCCAATGTACAGACATTTAAACACTTTCCAAACCAGAAACCTTTTATCAATCCCCACTGTGGCTTATTGGCCATAACTATATGGCACCAGGGACTTTGCACTTAGATCACCAGAGCAACTTCTTGGAGCCTCTTACGCCTTGTTATCTTGTAAGCACTGGCTCCCTAATGATATCCCATGTGGCTCATCTCCACAGACTTCTGCATCCCTGCTCTGTGCCATGTGGGAGTCACAGATCCTAGCTGCTCTGGGATGGAAAGAATGATGAAATATCCACCTTTGTTTTTCCAGGCCACCGAATTATGACTACTGTGACATATACATTGCACGTTCCCATTTTGCTGTGGTTCACAGTTGTGGTAGATCTCAGTTGGACTTTCCATGGGGCAAACCCAGGAAGGGGCCAGCAGGGAAATGCATGCTCAGGGGCAACCAGCACGGGTTCATCAGCGGCAGGTCATGTCAGACCAACCTGGTGGCCTTCTACGATCAAGTCACTAAATCATTGGATGCAGGGGTACCAGTGGATATAGTCTTCCTGGACTTCCGGAAGGCTTTCGACACTGTCTCTCACCCCGTTCTCATTAGGAAACTGGGGGACTGTGGCGTAGACACCCACACAGTCCAATGGGTCGCCGACTGGCTAGAGAGCTGCACCCAGAGGGTGGTAGTGGATGGGTCCTTCTCGGCCTGGAAGGACGTGGGCAGTGGGGTCCCGCAGGGCTCAGTCCTCGGGCCCGCCCTGTTCAACATCTTCATCAGTGATTTGGATGAGAGGGTGCAAAGCACCCTGTTCAAATTTGCTGATGATACCAAGATGTGGGGGGATGTGGGCACAATAGAAGGGAGCAACAGGCTACAGTCGGACCTTGACAGGTTACAAGGATGGGCGGAGGAGAACAGGATGGGGTTCAACACAGACAAGTGCAAGGTCTTCATCTCTCCCCTAATGGCAAGCGTATCTTCTCTTCCAGGTTGGCTGATCTCGTACGGCGAGCTTTAAACTAGACTCGCCGGGGGAGGGGGCTGC